CTCTCAATCCAATCAAATCTTTCTGAAGTTCTCGAGCATGAGGCATCACTAATTTAAACTCTGGGACCTGACCCATGTGTGTTAGTGGAAGGAGGCTGTCCTGAAGCAGAAGAGAACACCATGTTGCCTCCCAGGAGGACTGCATGTATGTGTCTATGTAGCTGCATGTACATGTTGGTTGTACATGCAGAAAGATAAATACTCGTCTTTTTAACGCATTGCATTTTAAATTTGGTTTGCATTACATGGAAATTTACATTTATGTGCATAAATGTTATACTGATTAAAGAGGCCTTATACCTTCAAAATGAAGGTGAGGGGAATTATTACAAGCACATAAGATTGGGAGCCCATTTTACACCATGAGTAGCAGCTCACTCTGCTCTTTTAGGAATCACTTCACCAACAATATTTGTGAATGCCATTGTGAGAATTTGGTCTTACTGCGTGATCAATTTTCCTTTCATCTGTCACATCCTGCAACTTTTGCTTCATAATCTTATAGGAAAATAATTCCAATTTGGCTGTTGCCTGCAGAGATACTGAACAGTTTCTTTCAAGGTATCTCCCTTTGAAATGTAAATATTGGTTATTTCTCACATCTCCAGAACTGAGCCAATCAAGCTGCCCACTCAAAAATACTTCTTGGCTGAAAGTGCTCCAAAATATATTTATAGTCAACAGTTTTAAGATTTGTCGGAGATTCTAATTTTCTGCCTGGTTTCAGTTATCCTTCTCACGGTAGTCTCAACAAAGTCTTTATTATTCTGTATGATGACATTCTACAATATTTTCAAGTATTCTGTGCAAGTAGAAAGTGGCATTAGACATCCCTGCTCTAAAAGACAAGGAGATGGGGCCTGCAACAAAATGGTGCAGTGCAGGGTGCTGCTTTTCCCCCTCTCTTCAGTCAGTCAGCTTTTTGTACCAAGTGTGTACAGTCCTCATTATTCTGTTCTGAGAGTTCTCCCTGTTGATATTCCCCCCTATTTTTTGTACCTCTGCAAATCCAGGATTCTCGCCCCCCCCCACTCCCCACCATGCCTCATCATACATCTATTTTGAGTGGATGCTTCCATTTTTCCAATGGCATTAAAAACTCTAGGCTCTCCACATCAGGCGAGCTAGGTCTGCAACACGTCATCTTGGTTTTTCCAATGCTGTGGACTGACAATACATTGAGTGCTTCAAGACATTGTGGGAAATGAAAATGCCAGCTCCTAGTCAGCTGTGAAGTACTTCTGCTATTGACAAGCAAGCACAGGCCTCCCTCATCAATGTACTCCCCTAAAACCTGGAGTTGGGCCCGCCTCAGACTATTACGCTCACTGTGAAACCAACTAGTACACAAGGAAGCTTTTCCTGGGTTTTTAAGACACAACATTGCTACACATCCAAGTAGGTTCTAAACATCTTTTGCCAGTTTTCCACAAGGAACTTTGAGCATGGTAGTTCTGTGAAGGTGTCAAGAATCTTCTGTTAGAAAGCACTGTCTCCTCCCTGGACTACATTTCCTAGGGTCCCTTGAGAAAAAGGCATGGCAATTAAAGCTTCTCAAAGCTTGAGCAAAGCCTGGCTTCTCTCTCACTAGCTCACTAGCCATAATGTGCACTATAGGCAAGGTTAGAAAAATAAGCAACTATTCTGCTCTAATCTTCAGTTGTATATATAATCTTAGTCTCACTGATAGGAAATGATTCAGTATTCTATTATCTTCAATGACATGATTTATAGGGATTCTCTCTCTTCAACTTTTCTAACTTGCTGCATGTGCACTAGTTATGAAAACAATTCAGTGGGTGATTTCCAACCAAGTCATGCTCAGGGTAGGCTCACTGACATTACCGGTAATTGGAAGCCTATTAGGTCTACTTTGAGTATGAATAACATTGGCTCTCATTTAAAGTTTTGCAGTGCTTCAATTTATATTCTCCTATGGGCTTTTTTTGGACGCGGGTGGCGCTGTGGGTAAAAGCCTCAGCGCCTAGAACTTGCCGATCAAAAGGTCGGCGGTTCGAATCCCCGCGGCGGGGTGCGCTCCCGCTGCTCGGTCCCAGCGCCTGCCAACCTAGCAGTTCGAAAGCACCCCCGGGTGCAAGTAGATAAATAGGGACCGCTTACTGGCGGGAAAGGTAAACGGCGTTCCGTGTGCTGCGCTGGCTCGCCAGATGCAGCTTTGTCACGCTGGCCACGTGACCCGGAAGTGTCTCTGGACAGCGCTGGCCCTCGACCTCTTGAGTGAGATGGGCGCACAACCCTAGAGTCTGTCAAGACAGGCCCGTACGGGCAGGGGTACCTTTACCTTTACCTTTATGGGCTTTTTTAAACCTTTGTTTATGGGGGAAGATTGGGTTCAATTAAACAGAATTCAGTGGCTTCAATGCCTGGGCTTGTGTTGAATTCATGGAATGTGAACAAACAAGAGTTTTGTTATTAGGAGATTTTTGGCCAGGATTGTTACCTCACTGGAGTGATTTATTGCACTGCTCTTCAACTGGTGGGTTGAGACTCACTAGTGGGTCGCAGCCTCATTCAAGGTAGTTTGCATCAGGAGCACTACTACTTTGCATTCACATGGTAAAAGATTAAGAAATTGGTTCCCAAATGCATGTTTGGGTTAAAAGTGAATCCTAGGTCTGAAAACATTGCCAGACAAAATGTCTTTCTTTTCTTTTTCTTTTTTGCCAAAAACCTACCAAAGAGCACAGGTGAGAAATGGTACCAATCAATATTTTTTCAAACATAAATGACTGGGGTATATATTTTCCAAATGAGGCTCATGTGTTTAAAATAATACGAGAGGAATGTGCCATACCTCTGTTGCTGAATACATCAAAAAGAAGGTAAATCTGAATCCATAGCATTCCACTGAACTAGGTGGATGACTTTAGAACAGGTTTTAAAAATTATTTCATAACTCTGTGTACGTGTGTGTTCATGTGTGCACATGTCGCCATGAATGTGTAACTCATGAAGCAAAAAGCTTAAAATGAAACCATGAAGTTAAGAAGATACATATTAAAGGAAAAGCTTAGCTCGTATTTAGCAGTGCCAAAACTAGTTCACTTTATACAGATTCAGTTATCTCAACAACTTAAAGCTTAAATGATTAAGGAAATAAGTTGTATTTAGGAAGGTACATATTAAGAGAAAATGCCATACTCACAGTTGACCATGTTAAAATATACCCAAAAAAAAGTAATGAGCCCATGCTTAGGAAAGAGCATTGTTCGACTTAATGTAAGTAATGAACCTTTCATGTGAAATGATGTAGTGTCACAACTCATTTGCATCCCACTTAAAGTGTAATTAGGTTTCCCTGACAGCATGGCTTATGGCTGAAAGAGCAGACCTGGCTGCTAAATTAATCCAGAATCCTTCTAGTTAATAACACTCTGCAAAGCAAACTTTGCACACTTTAAAGTTCCTGAAATCACACTTTACATGACAAATTAAAAAGGGATGCTAGTGAAGGCTTAAGGGATGATGGACCAAATTAATCCCCGGAGCTCATTTTACTTGAATTGCAACCATTTTCTTAAGAATAGTGTTTGATCTCAGGCAATTGCATTCAACACAGTGTTGCCATTTTACCACATTGATAGATGACCAGCAAGCTAACTACAATATCCTTGGGCACCAGGGTTGCAGAGGGCCCAATATACATAAAAGATGGAGAGCAAAATGATCACCACTAATTTCATTAATCGTAGTATGCAATCAAGATGTCAATTAGGTAAACAGCACAAAGTAACATTGCAAAATGCCCTTTTTAAGGCCAATAACTGCTTCCAACTGTCAAAAGCGGTATTAAAAAAGGAACCTGAAAGGGTAAATATTTAATAGCTTAATTCAGGCAAATTCATATGACTGTTCTTTTGTTACCAAATGGAATTATTATCCTCAATCACTCACTCACTTAGTAGTGTGATCCCTGATGGCAATCAGTACTGTCAGGGTCTCCTGGTGACTAATGAAGATGGCCATGTTTTATCTCCACTGCCAGAGACAGTATGTCTCTGAATACCGGTTGCTGGAATCCACAAGTGTGAGATATTGCTTGTGGGCTTCCCATAGACATCTGGCCGGTCTCTGCAAGAACAGGATGCTATTCTACAAGGGCCTTTGGTCTGATCCTGCAGAGCTCCTTTTACATTCTTGGGACACCATGTGAATGATAGAATTCAAAAACTATGCTTAGCCAATAGTGCTACAACAGAATTCAACAAGGTTTCCAGGAAGAGATAGAAAATAAAACTTTTCTTAGTGTTGGGAGAAAGCATGTTATGATCCTCCCAACTTTATGGCTGACATAATGCTAACCTTTTAGGCTTTCATTACCTCAGAGCAGGATATCTATTGGAACATCTTTCTCCATATGAATCCAGCTGTGCCTTAAAGTCATTCTTACAGCATCGCAGCTATGGCAGGTGGCAATATGGGAACAGGCTCCTGTGGTGCCTTGAATAAGGAATACTCTCCCCAGGAAGACTTGCTTGGCATTTATTTTTATATTATTTCAGTGCCAGGCAAATACCTTTTCATTTTCTTGAGTACTGTCATGATATTTCTACAGTTTCTGGTTACTATGATGCTCTTTCATCTGTTACTGATTCTTCTTTTTACTGTGTTCTGATTATATTTATTCTTGTATTTGTATACTACAGTAAGTCATCCAGGGGAAAATTTATGAAGAGTGAGATATAAATTCCTGACATAAATGATAACCAAGCTCTTGACCTTTGGTTTAAAGTAAGTATTAAACCAAAGAACAAGAATTTGAGGGAAACAATGATATATAAATAGTGATATATATTGACACTTGAAGTCTATTTGGAGCAAGTCAACAAGATAAACATTGACAGGCCCAATCAATTCATTTATTTTAATTGGCTGACTCACTAACACCATGAGACGACACAACAAATTCAATATTTGACATCTCATATTGAAGCACAACACATTGTTACGTGTTTTGTAATTATTTTACTCAATGATTGACTTGACTTTAGAGGTTGATGAAGTTATGACCACAGATCTGATGGAGGCTGGTTCCAGTCTTCTCCCATTATGTCCTTCAGACTGAAATCTTTGAAATATTCTAGAAGATGGCTATCAACAAAACATAAGTATATCAGCACAAGTAGTTAAGGTCCTAAATATATAGAAAGGTTTTTTTTAAAAAAACATACGTAATTTTAAAATGATAGCTTTAGGGCAATACTGTTTTGAATAGGAGCATCTATGGAGATTCACCTGATCTGCACCTCCTGGGCTGAAGTGCAAATCAGAAGCAGCCAACTTCAGAATTCAAATTTGCTTGGTGTTCCACTCATTGAGGTGGCTGAGCACTGGGTTCTCTTCTTTGTGTTCATTTTCTCCTTGTACACTCTCAGGAGATTATATGGAGAGATAAATGGCTGCCCCCCCCCCAATTCAATCCAATGGTATACCAATGCCTTTTTCTGCAGTTTTCCCTAGAATGGAACATCATCGGCACCTGTCATTCCCAAAGAGGAATTCATACTGTTTTTAGCAGTGTCCAGTGCCAGATTTACATATAAGCTAAACAAGCTATAGCCTAGGGCCCCACTCTCTTGGGGCCCCCCACAAAATTTAAAAGGAAAAAAAACTGGATATACATTTCCAAAATATAATATAAAAAACAAATAAAATAGAACCTACATAGAGCAACAGTGTTTTGTGTTGTGTAGGCTTCTATTTGTTATGTGAAATGGCTTTAGATACCTATTAGGTCCATAAATTACCATATAGCATATATTCAACACAAAAAACAGTGACAATTTGTTGTTGACAAAGGACAGCTGGACATATAAAGGGTCCCATTACCTTCAGTAGCTTAGGGCCTCATCAAACCTAAATTCGGCCCTGGCAGTGCCAGTTGTGATTCCTCCATAATGACAAGAACTAGGGTGGTAGATTGGTTGGACTAGGACCAGGGAGGTCCCCACTCAGCCAAGAAGCTTACTGGGTGACCTTGGGCCAGTCACAATCTCTCAGCCAAACCTGTCTCACAGGGTTATGGCGATATTAAAATGGGTTCCTTGGAGGCAAGGTGGAATATAAATGTAACAACCACAACAACTTATGTAATTGGAAGCCATATGTGCTAAATACAGGACTGAACAAGCCTTCTAGAATCCACAAGAAGACATGATGGATGTTGGCTGATAATATATAGTTATTCTTCACCACAAAAGCATTTCCAGAGTTAGCTGAGGAAAAGGTATGTTCACTGCACTGTGGAAAAATGAGGACTGGCCTATCCTCCCATGATCCAGTTATCAGTGTTCCTGTATTTACCACTTTTACACTTCATAAAATAGGTCCTAGTAGTACACTATGAAATTGTCAATATGAAGAGTAAACAGCATAAATACTCAAGTATATCCCAATAAAGAATGAAGGATTTTCTAAATGTGTTACGTAAGCAGTTACTGTCAAGAATAAAAAGAAGCTTCAGGAACAGTTGGAAAGCAATTTGAGAGAGACGTGGGCGTTTTGTACTCACAAATTAGGGCCCTGCCCCTCTTTGATCTCTTCTTGTGGTATTGGATAAAGTGCCTCATACATTCTCCCAATACCAGACCCATGGATTGCATATGAATTCATCTTGTCCACACCGGGGGGGAAGTAGTCCCAAGGAATAATTGCTGTGCCATTCCAGATGCCCCCATTTATATCAGCTTTAAATGTCAATGGAAGTCCTTTCTGCACAATGGAACACAAAATACACTCTAAAAACTTCATCACTATTTTCACATAAAGTTGTATCAGTACAAGATATTAAGCCACATAACCATTTTAAAACAAAGTTTAGCACAATGCTTAATTACATAGGCGCCGACTCCATGGGGCCTGAGGGGGCTCGAGCCCCCTCAAAAATTTTTTTGGGGGGGCTCAGCCCCCCCAATAATCTCGGGCGCCCTTCCAGCAGAGCGCCGCCGCCGTCCCCCGCCTCCTCCCCACCTGCTCCCTCGCCAGCCAGCCAGCCAGCCGCGCGCCCTAGTCGGAGAGCCCCGGCCGTCCCCCGCGAGATTAGGGAATCCCCGGGGGCCAAGGCACTGCGGGGGGGAATTTCCTTCCTCCTGGCCCCCGCGAGAACAGGGGAATCCCGACTGGCCACACCTCCCAGCCAGCCTATTGGCTGGCTGGGGGGGCGTGGCTTGCCCTATTTAGGGCCGGAGCCACTTTATTTGCATATTCATGAGCTTATTTATTATTCATGAGCTTTCCCGGGCCCCCCCAATATTTTTTATAAGTCCGCGTCCCTGCTTAATTATCAAGATAACACTGAATTGCTGCACTTGAATTTCCTGTTAGCGCTTCTGTGAAAATGTCAGCTGTTGTTTTAAACATTTATAATACCATTCTATCTATTCAAAAATTTAATACAGAAGTTCAATTAAGAGAAGGGCAACTTTTGAGTTTTAGAAAGTGCTTTAATATAATGAACAAAGAAAGATATTCATGTCATTGGAAGACTTTCAGGTAGTATACAAAAAAGTAAGTGGACTTCTTATTCAGTTTCAATTTCAATATGTCCTCTGAGTAACCATCTGACAGAACGGATTAAAAAGGAAGCATAAATCCCTGAAGCCAACATTAATTCAAATAAATAGCAGGAATTACAGGATTTCATTTGTAAAGAGGCAACCACCAGCTGATTGCAAAAGCAATTACACTAGCTCTTTACATAGATGCCCTAATTGAAACTATTGGTATTGAAGTTGTAACATTAACATCAAAGGAGATGGGTAATAATTTAGATATAGGAATGTGCCAAAGGCAGCATTTGCATTAAATCTGTGCCACTCTAGGAGCCAGCTAGATCCCTCAGAGATCCATTCCTTCCTTTTCCAGAAGGCCATATCTTGGTAGACTGACATTGGCTATGTACATGCTAATCTGTTTGTAGCACAAAAATGTAGTTTCTCTCAATCTAGTATTAGTCATGTTTGTCCTCAACATGCTGCCTTCATTGTGGATTGATTCTAGATCCTGCTGTTCAGAAGGGTGGGTGCAGTTTAAAAAACATCCCCTTGATTTGGTTATCTACATCTTTCCCTCCCTGCATACCCCAGGTGAATAAAAGAGGAAGTGAATGAATGAATAAATGAATGAATGTTGTAATATACTTGTATGCATGAAAGGGTTAACTTGAGCTCAGTCATTATTGATTCTAGAATACTGTAAAATGTCTTTACAGACATACACTTTGCACTGTTCCACAACTGCCAATATTTGACGTTCAGAAAGGTTGTCAGGCTACCAATTGACCAGCAAACTGTGTTCTTTTAAAGCAACTTAATCTGCATAAATCAACAGATGAAGCTTTTGACTCCATCAAGGTCAACATTATCACCTGCTCATGTTTGTATGCCAAGCAATCATTACAAGGCACAGGAGTAGGGTAGGGCCCACTGAAAACAATTTGAAACCCTAAACAGAGGTTGATTTAGGGCCTCTGGGCACAGATATGAAGTTCTGCAGTCAAGTCCTGATCCGCCACGGACACACAGTGTGACATCAGACATGTCTCTGTGTCTCCCGTAAGCAGGGAATAATAGTAACTGGTCTTTCAAATGTGTAGGGATAGGGGAGAGAAAATATTAATGCTAAAACACTGTGCACATAGGATATAAAACCATCCCTAGAACTCTCACACCAGATCTCGGTGATTATCTTTCAATAGTCATTGTACTTGGAACAGATTCCTTCTCTCCATTCCGTTGCTTCCTTGATTTCTTCTTTTCTTGACTCGTATTTCTCCCTTTTTGAAGCCCTCTTCAGGCATTCAGAAGAACATTGTGGGTTTAGAGTGAGGAATGAGCATGCACATGAGCCCTATGACTGCCATACATTCAGCACCCAGGGGGGTTCTAACTGGCTAAATATAGCTAGAATCCTCCCTACAATCAGGAAACCAGGCCCACCCAGGATTCCAATTACATTCAGCTGAATGTGGTTAGACTCCCTCTACCGACCTTTGCACTGAACACACAAAGTTCAGAGGAAGAGGGGGTGGGATGAGTGTGTATGGGGACAATGGGGGCTGGGCCAATATGTCTGCCCCCATCTCCATGCAGTCTCTCACAGACTTTTGATTAACTGAAGGGGGCTCTTGTCTCCATTTTTCTCTCCCCCCCAAACCTGTTTCTCCCTTCTGCTTCCGTATATAAACTTAAGCAGCAAAGTAGAAGTTGCTGCTCCTCTCTTTGCAAACAGCAAGGAAGGTAACCTGAAGCACAATGCCAACTGCAGGCAAAACTGAACATTATATTCAACTAAGCCCTATTCAGAGGAGACCCACTGAAATTAATGAACTCAAGTACTCTGAATAGGACTAACATTCAATACCATCCTAACACCCACAGTTTTATTTTGTTTATGAAGCTGGGAAGGAGAACATCACTCTTCTCTCCGGCAACTGCCAGATCTAATAATAACTTTGCTCCTGGTGACAAAGCAACTGGAATTTGGGGCTGTAGTCAGAACCCTTTGTTTAAGGATCACAGTTAAATACTGATGATGGCAAAGCAAACAAACCACCCTCCACCTGTTAGCTCTGTCTGTACTGGTTTTAAACACAGAATTATTTGTTCAGCTCCAATAGTAAATAGGTTATTCAATAAATATTCTGTCAGCTGTGGATTTCTGCTGTGAATTGCTCTCAGTATTATTCACCTCAAGTATATTGCTGGATAGAACCCAGAGTGTGTTGGCATCCCAGATAGCTTATTTCATTTTCTGGGAACAATGATAGAGCCGCATTTTCATCTGTGTTTTAGACGCCGCATCTTATGCTGTATATTAAAGTCTAAATGCAATCAAAACTGTTGTTCAGAAGATAAGATTCACACGACAATTGTGTGTGCTTTGAAGCAGAATTCACAAATCACCTTGAACCAGACTGGAGTGAATTAAATGAAGATTACCATAAAGGACAGTCTTAAGCCCTATTAGTTCAGTGGGACTTTCCTTGGTAAGTGTATATAAGATTGCAGCCTTAAATCATGAATAAACCACAAAGAGAAAGTTTGATTTAAGTTGCTGATTCTAAATCAGACTTCCCATTTCCACTTCAATTATTTCCTAAACAAAATATCACAATAATTGTTTGATATAACTCTTAAAATTTGTTGCTATAACACTAAATAGTAGTATACTACATAATAAGGAAATTTGTGTGTGTGAATTCACTCTGTCCTGCATATATTTTGCTTAACATCTCAGGTTTAACACTGATTTAAGAAAGTACAGGGAAACTGAGACCCCACCCTCATATACCTTTCACATCTGTACAAACATTGTTATCTGAACATATTTCTTGATAACAAATGAGAGATATAAAGCTAGGCTTGATTCCACAAAATTAATTTCTTTTTCTTATTTAATTTCAGTGCAATTACTGCGCATTTACCTGACATAAAATCACTGAGAACACACCCAGGTGAGCTTTCAGATATCATGTCCTAATCCGGAAACCTATAGCCTTGAGTGCTGATTCCTTGATTTCCTCTTTCCAACATTTGCTGAGATGCCCCAAACTAGTACTAACTATAGTACTAACTTCCAATGCATGGTTTGAAGTAGGTTTGCAAACCAGACTTTGGGGATTACTAACCTTAGTTTGCCTGATTTAGACATCACAGCAAACTGTGGTTAGAGCAACATGAAAATGGAGAAGAGAATCAGCAGATGAGAAGGGAGGAGGAAATGCATGAGCTTGCAAGCACATCCCCATTTATGATCCTCCAAATTATGGATACTTAATGAATTGGACTTGATGACTATCCAGCTTCATGACTGAGCAGGGAATATCAATCCAGATTTCCCCATTCCAAGTCCAACACTCTATTCCCCATAACACACCTGCTCTCGTATTATATGATACTGCTTGCCGAAAAGGTAAATAATGTGTTCCCCAATTCCATTCTTATAGCATGAAAAGTTTTTAGAATAAGATGTTCTTACGTATCTAAGATCTTCTGTGAAAGTATATCAAAAACTGGAAAAAATCATTATAATATATGCCATATAATTCCTATTCTGTTCACATTGCACAGATATAAACTGACTCATGATAAACAGTAAAAACCTACTGAAACAGTAACATATTGATGCTGTACAAAATTCTAAAATATGATGGTATGCAAATAATTTATTATGAATCTCCATAGCATAACCCATGATTATTAGCTTCTAAATGTAAAATGCCTTTCTATGGGAATATATATGCATTGCTTATAATGGTTTTAAGGAACGCTGAATTGCTCAGCACTAAATAGAAAGGGAAATGGTCTCAGATAAATTTATAGCATAATAAAAACTTTGATGTAAATGTAGGATGTGCCAACAGGTGAGAGTTTTTTTTAAATTAATTTGATCGAATAAGCTCCATGGAACCAATTTGCAAATGATTTGCAGATGTGTTGGCATTGCTTAACTGTATTGCCATGATTTATGTTACTTAACACTAACGCAGATGATGAAATGAATTTATTGTCTGTAATTACCACAACAGGAAAAAAAAGCGATCAGAAAGGAAAACGAGATTTAAAAGAAAACCAAAAAACCTTGAACACAGAGAATGGCTATTTAAACTCTGCTCATAAAGCAAACTGTGGAAAACCATTGATTTAATTATACCGCAGCAACCAATTGTACCATTATTTGCAATTGCTTGCAAAATTCTTTAGCAAAATGACCTTATCTGATCTGGAGAAACTAGGTCCCATTATTTCATACACTCATTTATGAGTAATTTCTGCTGAACATTCATTGAAAATTATTCATGAATGCATTTTAGATGATGCCATGGCCAGGACCTCCATTAAGTTAAATAGCGGACATATAGTAATCAAATAACTTGGTGCAAAAATATCAGTATAAAAAGAGCTGCAATTTTACAGAGTTTTACTCATCATCTTAATCCCTGCAGTGAACTAAAGATAGCCACATTAGGTGGCAATCCTAAACTCACTTACCTAGGAGTAAGCCCCATTAAACTCAGCAGGCTTACTTTTAAATTGGCATGCATAGAATTCCACGCAGCTGTTTGCAACTCTGAAGAAGAACACATGGTGTTCTTTTGCTTCATTTTACACAGTAATAGAAGACTGGGTGCACAATGTGCATATAATAATATTCACAAGTTTTATGTACTCAGGATGATGAAAAAAGGTAGAGGGTGGCACCCCATGGCATCTGCTGCCTAAGGCAACTGACTCACTCTACCTAATGGCACAGTTGGCCTTGAAGCCACCCACAAAGATGCAGAGGGGTCATGTTAATGATTTATACATGCATTCTATAATGTCAGCATACACAAGAATCATTGTGTTCATAAAACATGAGATATATAGACAGCATCCTAATCAAACCTTACTTGGTTAAATGCTTGCGTCATTTAATTTAACAACAGAAAAATTTCATGCAGAATTCTACTTACCTCAATACAATCTCCTGCAGAAAGAAGTAATACAAGATGTTGGCCATGCCTAGCAAAACAAAATCATGAGGATGAGGGGTGGGTGGGAATCAATGGCATTGTCAAAACAGGTTTCATAGGAATACAAAACAGTCAACGTAACAATTAATGAATTCCATAGCAGATTATAGAAAAGAACAAAATGTTGTAAGTGCTGCCATAAAATGGAGTATGTTGCCTTCACTTTGGGTAGACTTAGCCATTGGTTTCTGGAGCTAGGAAAGCTCAGGCTGTGTATGCACTGCTGTTTACTCTGGCTCCAGTGCACTTCCACTGCTGGTGTTTGAACCCATGTAAACTTGACGTTAGCCACAATCTATAGCTAACTTACAGTTTCTTGAGAAATATTGCTGTTTGATGTGTGAAAACAGAAGCCACGTTCACTTCACAGTTAAGCTGAGGTGTGTACATTTGAGATAGTTACTGCACATGCTCAGACGACAACTTCATTGATAGGCATTCAGGAGAATGTAACAGTGTGGGACTTCATCTATAAACCAAAGTCTAAAGTAATAGACACAATGTGTTGTTTACATGGCAAAACTTACGGGCAGACTTCCACTTCCAAATAGTTTCTTGTTGCACTATTCAAAAAGAAGGATTCAACCACTGTGAAAGAAATAATACCAGAATGCTAGTGTGTGAGGTTTGGAAGGAAGGGGAAAGAGAATTAACCAAGGAATTTTTTTATTATTTCAGAAAGGCAAGAAATTCTTCATCTTTATCATAGTTCACTCTCACATCTATTAAATGTTTCACATACAGTTTAACTCAAAAGCGAATGGGTTCTTGTTTCAGATAAGATCTTTCTATGGATTCTGTAATAATTTAACAAACTGGTTCATGTTTGGATGAATCTGGTTCACCTCCATGTAATCCATACACTGTGATTCAAAAAACATGTTGACTTAGTCATGTCCAAAACCTTGTGCATATGCAGTAAGTAAGATTGTTGACTCCCCCCCCCCTTGAACAACAAACCATCTTCTAAAACCTTCAATTTCAAAATTGGTTTGCCATGTTACATGTGTGTGAGGGGAAGGAAGGGCTCATCTTCAAAGCTCTTTGGGGTTCATGGGACTAATTATTTAGTTCTTTGGGTCCTGCCATATCTATGGGTGCTCTGTGATGACTGCAGACACTTTAGGTTTCTGTATCTCGAACACTAAAGTTCATGGCAGGAGTTGCTGTATTTTTATAGACCAGTATCTGCTTTTATTCATATCCATGGCATATTTCATGCTTTGTTTATTACTTCATCCCCAGTGAACAGCAGACCTTCATAGCATACCACAAACTGCTTTGAGAATTCCCATCAATTTTAGAAAAGGTTAGTTGTGTTTCATGTGGAACTGATGTTTGGGATGCCCAAAGTCCTTCCTCCAGCATGCTGAACTAGCTGAGTTGTTTTAAAAAACAAAAACAAAATGCTCTTGGCTATTAAAATGTTATCATGTTATTACAAAAAGTTAAAATCCTACTACGTTTAGTAGGAGCTTTCGGGGGTTGAAGTAAGTGAAGAATAAAGCTGTGTGTATAGGGCAAATGTAAATAATGACCAGGATTAAACAATGATCTGACTGTACAACCTTAAGTGGAAGAGGCATGAGGTACAGACTTCCAGTTCTCCCACACTGGTTTCAAAGGGACTGTCTTTGCCAACTCTAAGCTGAAATAGGGGGGAGCATGATCCTGGGGTCTCTGCAATGAATGAAGGGACCTTAGATCCAGTTTGCCCAAGCCACCTTTTGGGCTACTGTGAGAGAAAGAGCCACCATATCTAGATATATACGCATTGAACTATTTACAGCATAGCAAGTCCCCACACACAACCTCAACAGGCATGACCCTTTGCCAGCAGAGATCCATCTCTACAACATCCCACCTATTCCAGTTAGTGCTCATGCCACTTTTAAAAAGAAATGCACAGTGTTCCTTCATTTTGAACTTGTTTGGCAATACAATTAACAGGAAATACTTCATCTCAAGAAGCACTGTACACATGAGCCCTTGATACACATTAATATTACTAGAAAAACTGCTAGTTGAATCAATATTCATTTTCTAGGCCTGAAACGTTACCACTTTTTGTGTTGTATACCCTTCATAAAACCTCACCTTCATAGTCCCAAAGGCCATCAAAAGGCTTTCCAGGTTCACCAGGTGGAGCTGGAGGATCATCGAAGAATAAGGAGTTCACTTCCATTACTAAGCCTTGAACACCAGGTTTAAATGTGATAGTCACTGGAGCATGCAAAACCGGTATGCTGTTCCAGGTATTTACAATTTTATATTCTACCTACATAAACACATTAAAAGTGATAAAGATTTATATTATCTGGTTCCAACAGTTAGTCTGAGGCTGTTACTGCTACATTTCCATAGTACATTAAGGGCGTTTTTCCCATATTGTGCTATTTGGGCAACCTAGATATTGCAGTGAATGTGACTGTAGTCTTCTGGGGACAAACTTTTCCCCACAAAGGTTTCCAATGTGCTGAATCAGATCCAAATCAATTAAGCATGCTAATTAGAAAACAAAATTTTAAAAGAAGTACATGCATGTTAGCTGCCTAAGTGGCTAATAAAAAATACTAATAAAATTTTCTAATAAAAAAATGTAGCAAATGTAGTTGAAGCGAAATATTAGATAAGGAACAAAAATTAAAAGTGCACATTATGTGATTTAAATGTTACAAAGTTTTAGCTGTGGTTGTTTACTGGAATACTTGCAAACATTTTAAGACCATGACAATCCAATAGCATATATTTTCCTATCATTTCTGGAATATTTTGGGTATGTGGGGTGCCTGGAAAAGACCCTGATGTTGGGAAAGATTGAGGGCACAAGGATAAGGGGATGACAGAGGACGAGATGGTTGGACAGTGTTCTCGAAGCTACCAGCATGAGTTTGACCAAACTGCGGGAGGCAGTGGAAGACAGGAGTGCCTGGCGTGCTCTGGTCGATGGGGTCACGAAGAGTCGGACACGACTAAACGACTAAACAACAACAATTTACATTTCAAAACAACATAGGCTTTCTAGGTACAGTCACCTAAAAAACAGTAAAACTTTGAAACTCCCTGGTCTAGCTGGTACTGTGCTAATTCATTCATTTAATATAAAATCAATCATAAGTGGGGTGGGGCAAGTGATGTGGAGGAATATACTGCCACATCCCAAGTCCTCTGAGCCAGGCCACAACAGAAGGTGAGCAGGTGATTTATTGTTCTTTTTCACTATGCCAGCTCCAGACCAGTACAGCCTAGGGGCCTGAAGACTGGGCCCCTCCAAGGGCTCTGGATTCAACAGCCTGCAGCATCCTATTTCAGAGCTTCTGATTGCTTTTGCTGATAGGACAGCTGCCAGTAATAGTAGTTTTCTGCCACCTTGGCAAAGCTGGCTTCCTGCAGCAAAGGACACCTGGCCCCAGTGGCTGCCCTCCTCTCTGCTGACAAAGGAGCACCAATGCACCATACAGCCTGTCATGTCAGTAGAAAGTGCAATCTATTTTATTTTACTATACTATACACAAAGAGAATGCAGAAGTTTATGGGAGTTGGAATCCCAACAACATTTACAAAGCCATAGGTTGGCCAGTCCTGTGCTAAATGAATAGCCTTGGGGAAAGTAAAGAGCAAATTTATTTCCACCTGTAACCAAAAGGTGGTTTGCCAAAATGTGCATTCTCAGAGGTACAGTACAGCTAAACTTCAGCTGCTGAAATGAGCCAAAACAGAACGCTTTTGAGAAGCAATAGAACACAGCTAACAGCTGTTCATCTTGCAACATTCTAAGTCAGTGCAAGATTACAGTTCCTTTAAAATGTGAATAGGAGACTTGATGAGAAGCACAGCATCACTGCACTTAACATTTTAATGCAATCAAGAAAACGAAATATAAAAGGTAACAGCAGGTGAGACTTCACCATTGCATTGTATTTAATCTCAGTAACTGCTATGAAATTTTTAAAAAAAATACTTTTCACAATGTTCTCATTCTCTTAAAAGTGCAGCATTTTGTGTGACCATATATAAATTCTCACCTGTCTTGTTTCACTCCTCGGAAATTTTGCCCCATGATCACTGAACACAGCACTTTCACTTGGGAAGAAAAGACAGGTAACAATAGATGAATGGAATCTACCTGCATTAATTTGTACTATTGCACTACACTGTTTTATTCTCGAAATGCAAAACATCAGTTTAGAAACTGCAATCCCATTAGGGTTATATGGAACCAATGTGAGGTTCTATTTTGAAAAAAACAAAAACACAACTTCTAGAAGAAAACTTAGTAGGGATTTCCTAAGCATAACATTGTTAACTTTAGTCTCCCATCTAGTGGCAAAAAGCAGTAAGAGTCAAAGTTTCTGCGATAAGCCTATTAACACAATAATTATGGGGGCAGCAAGACACCTTAATTTTATTTATACGACTATAAGAGTGATAAAATTTCATAGAAAGTGCAACAACACAAAATTCTTATTTTCAAAACCTTGGAAACATTTCAGGAAGTATTAGGCAAGATAAATCCTCATTTGGATAGATCTGGAAGACTTAAAACAATGGCTGTAGGTCTTATCACAATGTTTGTCCACCTTTGGTCGCCACGCAGCACTCAGATGTCACCCATGGTTCCTAAAATCTGTCAGCATGTGACAGTGACCACACTCCAGGAACACCTTCACCTTTCCGGCTAAACTGGGTGAGGGTAGCTGATGAGTTTCAAACCCTTGGTGAGTTAGGGATTTTCTGTGTTTGAAGACAGACTCAAGCAGATTGAGTGGATGAGACCAATAGTGGGTCCAACAGTAAAGAAGGTGGTTTCTGCATGTGCTATAGAGGGGAGTGAGGAGCATGTGGGGCTTGTCAACCTGGGAAGGTAGTCCATCTAGGTGAAGGAAAATTCTGACCCTAAACCTCTGCTGCCTTGCTGGATACCTTCAGGAAAAGAAAAGGCTAAGGGGTAAACCCTATACAAATCTGGAGTGGAGTCTGTAAGATGGTTGGATGGTGTCCTGTACACCTCTTTCCAGCAACTCTTGCAGCCAAGCTGGTGTCAAATATATTGCTCTGCTTTCCTTTGGTTCACATCAGTGAGGTCAAGGGGGGGTCATGTCTAGGGAGCCCAGGACCACCATACAACACTGCCCAGGCTTGTGCTCTGGGGAGGTCACTTTGGTTACAAACACAGAGGTCTGACTTCACCCCCAGAGGTACACTCCATTGTCTCTCAAGATAGTTGGATGCCAACAAAGATCTTATCATGTAGATGGATGACTCCTGGAATTTGTGAACAAAAATCACAAAATATTGCATTGGTTTGTGTTATATTCTTGTAGCTGTTGGGAAAAGATATATTTAAAAGAATGATGAAGTGGGGAGGGGGGAGTCCTAGCAGATAAATGCATGCGTACACCTTTCTGCATATGCAATAATAACACTGTGGGGGGATAATGGGTTTTGTTTTTTGTTACTATGTTAAACATTTTTGTGTTTTTATAATCTAATCTGATCCTCAAGTGAAGGGCAAATATAGAAATTTAATTAATAAAACAACAACAACAACAATAATGCAATTGAGTGTTTAAGCAGAAACATATGTAAAAAAAAGAGAGAACCATGACATTTCCAGGACTCAAATAATACTCATTCACAACATCTGCATATGGTGTACACTGAAGCAGTACAGAAGCGCCAAGGTTTTGCTTTCCCCCAAACCAATTAGATCACTCCTACAGAGCTTATAACTTAAACCAGGCTCTTTAGTGAAGAACTTTTCATCCACTCTGCACTGTAACCATCTCTGTGTTGGAAGGACAGATTTGTTCTGCCATTCTCAGCTTCCTCCCTTTTATTGTAACGGCTCCCAACTATCACTTCTTACAATAGGGAATAAAGATTCTGCTTTATCACCATGCAATCCACTTAATTTTTTAATATATATATGGGCTGGAGAAAGGAAAAATCAGCCATATGTATAAGGCTTTCTTTTTCAGTTTGGTAAACAGAGGAGAACTGAAACAAATGATATAGAAATAAAGTTAACTAGTACCTGCTTAGCACGAAGTGGTGGGCAAAGTCAGGAAAGCAGGCAGCAATAAAAGCCACAGCAAATAAAGTATTCATTTTTGAAAGCTATAGGACAGAACAAAAAATTTACGTTTTATATACCAGCTAGATGAACAAAGCTGAATAGCCATTGGCTTTGGAGGGTGTTTACTATATAAAGAAGAGGTAATTGATAACACATCCTGACCTTGGCAGTGTTTCAATAATTGACTAAGACTTTAGTTTGTTACCTGTTACAGTGTGTTAAAGGGAAGCATTTTGGTCTGGTACTTAATGAGCAGAATTCAGCATCCTAATCCTTGTCAATCATTCAAGCAGGATGCCATGGGTCAATGATCCTGAAAGATGTCAAGAGATCCAGAACGATGAGTAGGATCACACTCTCCCTGCCTTTTTCCTGGTGAATATTGTCTAGTTAAAAGAGTACCTAGTAATATATACAGTATAGAAGAACACCCGATACATTTTTAAAAAAGAAAAAACTTGAGTGAAGACTTTTGCAATATTTGAAGTCCAGTGCTAATTCTAGTATATGTTTTCAAATCTGCCTGACTTAATAGGGAATCACAAGTTTCTCTCGATTTTAATATAAACAAACCCAGATTAGTTAGGATTAATATTTAAATCTCATCAGGTCTGAAGACTTGAATCCTAGAATGCTCTAAAACATCAGCCTAAACCTATAAAAGCAATTGTAAGTCAAACACTAGAGCCTACTATGTAATTATGTGTCAAATTACTTAGCTGAAACGGTTTCCTGTTTCAGGGGACAAAGAGCCTTCTGGAAGTAGAATGAAACATTCTGAGATCATACTTCAAAGGGAATTTTCACAAAAGCAGAAGTGGCAAACCAGTTCAAATTTGCCATCTGCAATAACCTGAAGAGCTCAATAGCTTATTGAGGCTCAAGCCATCTCCATTCTTGTTACCAAAACTGTAAACAGTATTTCAGAGTGTCCATACTGAACTGGCAAAATGACTTTGAATCAATAAGTGTTAGCACACAGAACAAGGAACAGCCACTTAAACATCACCTTTACAAACTTTAAGAGAGAACAGATTCCTAAAGCCGACTGAAGAGCGTAGGCCCAACAAGTTCTGCAGCTAATGCAGCATGAAACTGGAACTAAATGTTCTTTCCCCCCACTCAATTCTCCTAGATTTTGTGCTTCACAAAATGGGGGGGGGGGGGACTGCACTGCCACCCACAAGCACAACTTAATCCCAAATAAAGTACAACAAAAAGGACAAAGGACCTAATCATGGGTGTATATAAAAAGGGGCTTAATATTTCAAAGGGCTATAAGGTGGTTTTTATTTTTTAAAGTATAGGATTTTCAGCGGAAAAGGTAAAGCTGGATTAAATGGTGGAAAAATACAGGTTGCCATTTTGATGCCAACAGTATGCTACATAAGCAACTTTGCTTCTTGCATTCAACTACGGAAAGGCCTTGGCTTCACTCTAAATAGACATTATGAGACTTTATTCAAATCTGATTTGATTCTGTCCAGTTTGGATATTAAGAACACTGAATATCCAAGGCAGAGGTTGTGAATGAGTCCTTCTAATTCATGTAAATTGCAATATTCTCACAAAAGGGTAATTCCATAGTGACCAACATAATATTTGTAATCTTCTATACATAATATTTTGTGTACAGCGGTACCTCTAGATGCGAACAGGATCCATTCCGGAGCCCTGTTTGCATCCTGAAGCAAACACAACCCGCATCTGCAGGTCGCGTTTCGCCGCTTCTGCGCATGCACGTGACGTCATTTTGAGCATCTGCGCATGCACGAGCAGCGAAACCCGGAAGTAACACTCTCCATTACTTCCAGGTCGCCGCGGAGCGTAACCTGAAAAAGCTCAACCTGAAGCACATTTAACCCGAGGTATGACTGTATTGGCCAGTATTATTAAACTAATTGTGTGTTAACTTGATTGATGTTCCCTTCAAAAATAAAGAAATAAGCCAGATTGTTTAAATGATTTCTTTTTATTGTATTTTAAAAGTTGTGACTAACACAACAGTTTTACAACCACAAGAATTTATCTGGACCTTAAAACAATTATATTCTCTAAAATTATGAATAAAAAAAATCAATTAGTAAGCAATATACACAGTTACTGGCAACTGTGATAAAGTTTTCCAGCATATGACCTGTGACCAACATAACACATAAAATTCAGTGACAAACACATAAAAATAAATGCTTTCAGACAAAGACACTGTGTGTATGACACTTTACTTTGCATTCACAAATTGCAAGTGTGCACCAAATCCATTTGAGAAGTTGCAATGCCCAAAGGAATTTTGACTTGGCTCAGTCAATACCCTAATGATTTGTTTCTTTTCAACCCATTGTGTTTATTAGGAGAAAGTCACAGTAAGATTCTGGTGAATTTCATGAAGATTTTAGAATTTGCAAACTGCTGGAGCAATTTAAGATTGGAAAAATAAGAAGCTGAGAGAAAAACTGACTTTACATCACTACCTGGTCCACAACTTTTCTTTTCAATCTCCGTGTCTCAAATTCAACAATAACAAAGTTGCCAACTGACAGCACTACTTCAGTGACTGTTTCTGCTTTCTTTCAGAATAATCACATTTCCCATATAGACATCATCCCCTGTGTTTCTTCTCATTTTATTAAATGAGAAAGCCAACTTTTCAATACAATGAAGGGTCATTAACCTACTGTCTATTTTCTTGGAGAGGTCTTTAACCGAAGATTAGGAAAAGAGAAATTCCAAGTCACCTTGAATGTCATGCTGCTGGTTGCTTGCTCACGTATAAAATGCCATCTTGAAAAAATTGCCAGATTATGAAACTTTGGAATATATATTTAAAATGATACAGAACATGTTAACTACTATATAAGTAAAAATGGCAAATGGGTTTGTAGGTTGACATTTTCATGCAATTCCCCCAAACCATTTTTAGATCAAGCATATAACCCAAAACACCAGTCTACAGCAGATGTCAAACCAATGTATAAAATGGTTCCTTTGTACCCAACTGCACCATACTCTTCCTGCATTATCCTTCCTTATTAACTACCGTGTGCTTATGTTATTAGCATCACATCATTTATTGATTCTGCAATATTCTGTTAGGCACTGTATGCTTTCAAACACATTCCGAATCTTATTTTGATCTCTTGTTATGATAGCCTTGTTTGCATAGCTGCCTTTAACAGATTTTAGACTGCAGAAACTCCAGTTCCAAAGATATTTGTGAGTTATCACTAGTAACCTTAATCTTAGCACCTGTCCTTTCATGCATTAGGAAAATCCTATTCTTTCTACCTAGAGTTGATACACCCCTGCAAGGGGTAATACAAGCATGAAGTGTCCTCCGATATGCTGTGGTAGTTGTGCTATTTATTTGTGGCCTTGTCTCAATTTGTGATAGTTAAAGCAAGGTTCACTCCTTGTATTTTAATAAGTGTGGAGTCATTACTGCCATAGCCTCTTGTCTTCTTTGATAGCATAATAGCCTTTCACTTAGTTTAGCAGCATGCACAGATGCAATGACTTGCCTGCTAGCAACTGTACCTTCCACAGCAATGGGGGAGTGGGGTTGTGTTTGTATGCCATAGTGCAACTGCTACACACTTTACTTTGAGTGCTACCTGTGTAGCAGTTGTTTTCCTGGAGCCTGATTCAGCTCATCAACCAGACATCAAACAATATTCTGCTACGTTTTACTCAGAATACACCCAGTGAAATGAATGAAAATGTTTGTTAGGTCCTATTAATTTCAATTTCTTCTGAGCAAAACTTAGCTGAATACCACCCAGAACATACTTTCAAAAGACACACATAAAACAGGAACAGATCTGTGTTGATCAAGGTAGGTGTAACATTTTAGCCAGCATAATATACATACATATCACGCCCAGAGTTTTTTCTGTATTTAATCGAATGTCTTCTGTAATAACTTGCAGTTCAGATTATATTACATTGCCTTGGATGAAAAAACAATAATTTTCTTCCATCGAAAGGGAGCGTCTAGCTACTTTCATTTTAATTTTATGTATAATGGGAAAAGATGATAAAAAGCACCTGGATCAATATTGTTCTATTCATTATTCCTTTATACTTAAGTCATAATCAGTTTGGTGTGAGAAATGAAAACCTGCTTGATATATTCAGTGAACAGATATGCCATTTACTTTTATCCCACATTAATCAATAATTAAAGATTAAATACATTGAGACAATACCCATTTCTGGTTAAATAGAACATATTTTTAGTGGAATTAAAATGTTTGTCTGCTCATGCCAAGTGGACAGTTCCACAGATTTTCCATGAAGGCAAGTTGTCAACACCCCAAAAAGTGTCCATTTATCACAGGGGCATTGGAAAAAATGCAGGTGGCAAACAGAGCAACAAAATAATTTTGCAGCTATCTCAATGGAGGTCACTGTAAATAAAATAAGCACATGCTTGTGTTGGGAAAAGTGAAATGTTTAAAGTCCAATTATGATCTAGCAGGTATAGCAGAGTGCGATTGGCTTAGTTTCTCAATTCATTCTTGAAAGCAGCATCAATCATGGATTTTGTTTGAAAACAGCTTGATTACATCGCAACTTCTTATCCATTGGGATACACATGTGTGGCTTCAGGGGGGAAAGTTCCCATTTTCTTTACTGCAGAAGTAATGTCAGCTATCAGACAGCATCTATAATTGACTTAGGAAGAAATTCGCAAGAAGGGAGGAGAGGACAAAATGCATTCAGATTGGAAGGATTCTTCTCATCTCATCTCTTTTCTTTTCTTGGTATCCTTCCATCTTTTGCATTCCAGTCAGGTAATCTTTGAAGCGGTTGGGTACTTAAGACCCCCAGAACATGAAATACTTTACTACAGAGACAATCTGTGAGGGAATGAGAGAAACAGAACCAATAAAAGAGCAATACTCAAGTGACCTGTAAAGAAAGTAGATCAATATGGGGATTTGAATAAGATTAGATGCCTGACAGCTGAAGATCACAAAGCTGATAACATGACTAAATGAGGAAGTAAAGACACAGTCAATTACTCCTTTGCAACAACTTGTGGGAAGGGTTGAGGCTGGACTAGACACATAAGGTGCAAAGGCTTTTGGGGTGCATTGTTACTATTTGCAAAGGCCTGGACTCTCAGTATCCAGAACAAATTCTGGCCCAGCATTAATAGTTAGTAAACAGTCTCCAATATCATCCACAGGACTCATAATAATATTGGTATATAATGCCTTAATGGCTGAGGACCAGTTTCCTTAAGGGGTCCCCTTACCCAATATGTGCCAACTTGATCACTTCAATCTGCAAAACTCACACTTCTGTAAGTTCCACACAATGTCTATATTGCATTCATCGGGAGTCACGTCTTTAGCGCCTGTATTTTGAAACTCCCTGACTATTGACAGTATTGATGTCTGCTGAAAATGTTTCTGTTTCAGCAGATCTATACAGATACATGATATGTTATGTGTTTTGTCGTGTTTCAGTGTTTCTAGATTATTTTAACAGTTTCTACATGTTTTAGAAGTGTTTCAAATATGTTTTATTTTACTGTTAATTGTATTTTTATTACAGAGCAGGAGAAAACAAGCATGGTCTCTCTTCCATGTGACAGCCCTTAAGATATTTGAAGATGGCTATCGTATCTCCTCTCAGTCTCCTCTTTTACAGGCTAAACCAACCCTGCTCCTTATTGATAACTAAATAAAAGTATATGATCAGGATGCAAATGGCAAATGAGCAACAGTGAAAGGCCCAGTTGAGAGGAAACAAAAGCTTTTCTCCAACCCAGACATTGGCAACAGATCTTTTCATACATGCAGATATATAATGCAACTATGGCAGCGGACCTCAGCAAACTGAAGTCAACACTCTTCGATTTGATCCACTGAATGCTTGTAAGTGCTACAAGTAGGCAGTGGTCAATAGTGTCTAACCACCTACTTTAAGCTATCTGGTAGCCTACCTTTTGTCTTTTTTATTTAGTTGCATTTACATGATGCCCACAAGTCTGATTCTGGTTGCTTCCAATCTTCTCCCATTAACAGTTTCAGGTTCAGGCATTTAAAATATTCTAGGCGATGGCTGCAAAAGAAAGGAGCAAAAGAGTCAGATGGGTTGGAAACATTTACACTTACCCCTTTCCACATCTGCTAAATTGGTATGAAGAAAAGTTATTGTATTACAAAACCACAGTACAGTAACTACGTATTAAAGAACTAGTGTAAGTGTGTTGTTCTTCACCACCCCAAGAATTTACATTGTAGTTTATATATGTGTGTGTGTCACATTCATGTTGTGAAACTGATTCAAGTAATTACAGTCTGTGCCTTGTTGCCTTCTGAGTTTTCATGCAAGAAAAAGTATGAAAGTAAGGTGTGCAGATAACACTCTGTCAAATAAAGAATAAAAAGTAGCCACCAAGATAAACAGATAGGTAGGAGATAAGATTGGAGGTTTTATGGTGCAACTACCCAGAGAGCACATGACACTGTATGCAAGGTTATGTTTCCAGTGGACTTCTCACAAAGTCTCAGTTCAGGCATAAAGCATATTTCTATCAGCATATCAGAAGCGCTCGTTTTGCAGATTGAAATGCTGTAATGCACACATACTACCAGATATTTCCTTTCAGCAAGTACTAATGAATATGGAGCACAGCAAGCTACCCCAGACCCAAGAAACCATTCAAAAGAACACAGGGGAAAGAAGAGCAAGCATTGTTATAATATTTTACACCATCATTCATATATTCACATTTCCCAATGCACTTCTTGAGCCAATGAAAGTATACAGGTATTACATTATATCCCAAAGGATAAGCTTAGCAAAGCAGTGTATGTGAGAGAGAATGATCTTTAAAGGTTATTTTGTTTGAACTCCTTTAATGTGTTAACATTTTCAATAGTAAGATTGCTACAAGCCAAATAGAAAGCATCCTTGACCAGCCTGACCAGCAGAAGCAACATCACTGCATTTAAGTTCTTGTCTAGATTCTGCAGTTTAGGTCCTAATATAACTTGCCCTCCTAATTTGAAGGGCAATAAAATATTCTCCCACTCTCACCAGTCTCTTAGAACGCCCCCTCCAAAAAAAAAAAAAGCACCACAGATGTACTTACAAATCAGGTTTCTGTTTTGCCACAATGTCATGTTGAGGTACAGGGTAGAGGGCTTCATATGTTCTGTTAACTCCTGACCCATGAATTGCAAATGCATTAAATTTGTCAGTAGCTGGTGGAAAATAACTCCAAGGAAGATGAGCTTTTCCATTCCATTTGGCACACGTTCTCGACACTTCAAACATTAAAGGAAGTTCTTGCTGTGTTAAAAGAAGATATGCAGATTTATCCCAGTCCCGTGAGTGTTGAAGTAATTGTGCGTTTGGGGAAGGTGGTGGTGGAGTCCTATGGTTCACTTACTTTGCACACTTTCCGTCTCCCAGAAAGCAGCAACACCAGATACTGCCCATGCCTACAAAAACATAATATAGTCATACCAGAAATACATCCATTAGCATGTCTCTTAACCAGAGGCAGCTTATAGTTCTCAGATGAAAATTGTGTAACCCAATAAAATGCAAATAACTCCTAAGCAACTTGCTATGTAAGTCAACATGAAGCCATTAAATTGCACAACTATATTTGCTTCATTCTGGACTACATTTACAAATAAGGTAAAGGTAAGGTAAAGGACCCCTGGATGGTTAAGTCCAGTCAAAGGCGACTATGGGAAGTGGTGCTCATCTTGTTTTCAGGCCAAGGGATCCAGCGTTTGTCCATAGATAGTTTTCGAGTCATGTGGCCAGCATGACTAAACCGCTTCTGGCGCAATGGAACACTGTGATGGATGCTAGAGCACACAGAAACACCGTTTACCTTCCCACCACAGCAGTACCTATTTATCTACTTGCACTGGTATACTTTTGAACTGTGAGATTGACAGAAACTGGGACAGAGCAACAGGAGCTCACCCAGTCGAGCGAATTCAAACCTAGGGGCGCGGGTGGCACTGTGGTCTAAACAACCGAGCTTCTTGGGCTAGGCGATCAGAAGGTTGGCAGGTCGAATCCGCGTGACAGTGGTGAGCTCCCATTGCTCTGTCCCAGCTCTTGCCAACCTAGCAGTTCAAAAGCACACCAATGCAAACAGATAAATAGGTGCCACTGGAGTGTCATGGTGTTCCATTGTGCCAGAAACGGTTTAGTCATGCTGGCCACATGACCTGGAAAGCTGCTTGTGGACAAACGCCAGCTCCCTTGGCCTGAGGCAAGATGAGCAATACACCTCATAGTCGTCTTTGACTGGACTTAACCATTCAGGGGTCCTATACCTTTCTTTACAAAGAAGACATTTGCTGAAGTAAGTCTTTACCGACCCACAGCCACACACACAAACACACACATCTTTATGGGATGCTTTTAAATTCACTCATAATTGTCCATCATTTTCACTGGTCCCCCACCCTAGCTACAGCACCACTCAAATCCCCAATTTTAAATATTTTTCAGAGCTTGCCTCCCTGAATAGACTCAACAATAAAAACGTACACTGCCTTTATCCTATTTTGGACTCTTTATCCTATCTTGGACTCTTCTCACTCCGTTTCTGTAAGAATACAGAAATTCATTCATTGGTTAATGTTATAATACTGCAGCTGCAAATTAAAGATTCCTACAGAGCTTTACATGTAGAGTATTGGCAACCGCATAGGAAAACATACAGGTGCTTTTGCTCTTAAGGACTCTGTCCCTATGCAGCATCTGACCATCTCACTGTATAATAATATTAATACAGTATTAGTAATTAATTTATTAATAGTGATAGTAATAATAATAATAATACCCCACCCATCTGGCTAGGTTTCCCCAGCCACTCTGGGCGGCTTACAACATATATGATATTGCACTGCATGTCAATATACATTAACTTTACAGCTCTATTCCTTAGCTTACTGCCAAAATATACAGACTGAGAGAAACCATATTATTTTTTTCTAGCCACATCGTAGAATCAGCAGCTACCTTCTAAAGCCACAGAACAACTCCAAGCAGAAAGACACTTCTGATACTGGACAAGGTCTGAATGGGATTCCCTAGTGGCAAATCCTGTTCTTCACCTGCATAAAGCTGAAAGCACTCTTGGAATTCTAGCAATCTCCCAAATACAAACGTACACATCAAGGATTCAAGCAACATAATTGCATAAGAAATTAAAGGATTTTGAAATGTTTACTTACGGACAAAACTCCACTTCTAAGTACTGCTCAGTTTGGTGATTCAAGAAGAAAGCTTCTACAACTGAAAACCAACAAAACATTGCTGCTTCATTTTAAATCATTTTTATATTTACAGTGCAAACCCACACAGATACATGAACTCAATCCCATTTGCTCAATATAACTTATTCCCTACTGCATTTAGGATTGCAGACTTAGGCTACAATCCTATATCCATTTACCTGGAAGTACAGCCCAATTGAACTCAGTGGGACTTACCTCTGAGTGGATACACATAGGAGAATGCTGCAAAATCTCATTTCTCTAATTTTTTTTGCAGCCCACTAACTGTATATATTTTTCATAATGTGCTTTGAAAACACTTTTCAAATAGCTTATAATTACCATAATCTAGAATAGTATTGCTTTTAAAACTACTACAAAAAAAGTGTTTTACAAATTCTGTGTGCATATGTACATGGGGGGAAGAAACAAAAGATTGATTCTTCCATCTTGATAAAGATGGAAACAGCTGTGGAAAATAACAGTTTCTCTACTTGATATTAGCTGTCAATCAGGTAAGTGATGCTTAGGGACTTTTACGGGATGCCTGTGTAGGTAAAATTGAACAGAACTGAGCAATCACTCATTGCACTGGCCCTAAGGAAAAGCCTTAAGTGCAAGAAACTGATGCAATATACTCCTAAAGCAATGGAATGAATGTGAAACAATTGAGAGAGCAGGGAAAGAATTTCATTCATATGTATGAAAAAGCTACTCAGGAATCCTGCTGCTACTTTCCAATGCAGTACTGATCAACGGAAACAGCTGCAAGAAATAAGAATAAAATACAATGGCTCCCAGAAAAAGATTTCTCCTCCACCTAGGGAAGTATAAATTATGAATTCTTCATACCTTCAAGAGCAGAAAAGAAAAAGAATGGGGAAAATTGTTCCAACTGATGCTCATACAGCACATTAAAGGTTTTTTTTAATACAAAATTGGCGTTATTCTAGCAGGTAGCAGCATACTCAACTATTACTCTAGATTCTCCTCTAGAATGCTATGTGAACATAGCCAATTAGTGAATATTTTAAACACTATACACATTTATTGCACTGCCAATTTGAATGCATTATGCTGTGAATGTTATTTTGGCAACAATGCTGCAATACTAAAATTTAAAAACCTATGGAGCTTGAATGCAAGATAAAGCAACATAAGCTTGATGGCATAAGAAAAAAGTTTAAAATGTGAAGATCACATAGCCAAGGAAACTTGCCAGATGACTTCACACTGATATATCATCCTGTTCAAGAAAAACAGAATCAAAGTAGTGTTGGTAACACTGAAACTCCAACTATTGAGTAGCCATCTCCATAGTGATAGAAATCAGGGAAGTCACAGTGAAAGCCCAGCTGAGATGGGGAGAGATTACGCTACTTAGACTTGGAGAAACATAGTGGCTATGTCAAACAAGACCACAAAAGTTGTTGGTCCATCAAAAACGTTTTAAGAACGCAAGAAGAGCCTACTGGATCAGGCCAATGGCCCATCTAGCCCACTATCCTGTTCCCATAGATGCCTATGTAAAATTGAAAGCAGAATCTGAGCTCAACAGTGGAGGTAGTTTTTAGTCGTCTTATCCAGATATCCCTGCGTCAGTAGTATGTGGCCTATAAAATGAGAGAACCAAGTTTTATAAGGCTTTTATGACTGATGATATTCAGTACTTTGGATGTCACCCAAGCTAAATCACACTCAGAGTAGATACACTGCAATTAATGGGTCTACACTGAGCAAACTCTTGCTTTAAACAGGCTACAAAGCGGGTGGCTATTTGAAAATCTGTATTATGGTATTGAAGCAGTTCATTTATCATCAGATCCCTTAAAGAAACAGTTGCCAGTAAGAAAACCAGTGAGTTTAAGTGGCAACTGTACTGAAGTGTTGGAATTTGTATTATAAGATAAAAGTTCTTTGGACTACTCATTTAGTGAAAATTAATTTATCCAGCATAAAAGATGAGAGATTCTAATGCTGTACCTCCATACTCCTCTCTAAAAGATGTACATAAGAGTCTTTATCACACAGGAAAGTTAAGCCTACCATGTGGATCTTTTAAAAACCTTGAAGCTAATGCACCGAGTTTGGGTTGCCACGTTTCAAAAAGTAAAAATCAGGACACCGCAAAAGTTGTTGAGATTTATTTATTTTTTACAAAAACTGGTTTTTCGATCGACTAAGATCCAGGACAAAGCACTGCCTTTTGGAAATCCCTCTGCCCCAGGTATCAATTCCACCTTTGAAATCCCAGTAATGTCCAGGAAAATCTGGACATATGGCAGCCCTAACCAATATACAGTTACCAAACTTTATTGATGGGACAAATATATGGATTTTCATTCATTTTGTACTTGACTATAGTATTTGGGAATACCATATGGGAAGATAATTCAGAGGCAGTCCTTAATCACTATCATGTATAGTAACAGATTAAGAACTTAATTCGTTCTGGAGGTCCGTTCTCAACCTGAAACTGTTCTTAACCTGAAGCACCACTAATGGGGCCTCCCGCTGCCGCCGCTGCTCGATTTCTGTTCTCATCCTGAAGCAAAGTTCTTAACCTGAGGTACTATTTCTGGGTTAGCGGAGTCTGTAACCTGAAGCGTCTGTAACCCGAGGTACCACTGTACTACCATTTTGTCCACTGTAACACTCTGTATATGGAATAAGCAGCTTGTGCTATAAATAGCCTATTGCTAGCATTTACACACTTGCTAATGAGCATATGTTGTAGCATAACCCCATAACAATTTGCAAAACCACTTTCTCCTTTGAGGCAGGGGCCTATCCTTTCGTACTGTTTGCACCATATAAACTGGCAATAATAATAATAATAATGCCCCTGTAGGTTTCATAGCATTGTATTTCTTTAGGTTTTCACAAGCTGTGTGACAATTTCTACAAAGAACCTGGCATTAATAACATTAGTTTTGATTCAGATCTGGATAATTAGATGATTGTTTACCATAAAATTCCAAGAAAAGCATAGTAATATATTTCTTTACCTAGGAGGCAGAATTGCGGAGAACATGCTCAAAAAAAGAACACAGATTTCATGATAATTGCCTGCCTTTTGAGATAACCTAAAATAGATTACTCAATATATAAATGGTAATTGATGTTTACAACACAGTTATAATATTTATTCAGGTTGCATAACCCCTAATAATTTGCAATAAGTAGCCTTCCCATTAAAAATTAAATGACCCTGCCCCACTATATTACATTATATCCCAGCTAGAAGAGGACAGAGGGTGAAAGAAACAGCTGTGGGTGGAAGGGGAGCCTCTCCTCATCCTTTGGACCCCTGGGAAAGCTGCTGCACCTGGAACTGGTTGTGGAAAGTGCAGCTGAATGGGACACAGCTATGGGCGGTCTGAGGCAGTGCTTTGGGTCTACGCATAAAGATCAAGTCTAGAGCGAGAGACTAGGCTGGTGTTTGCTGTTTCCAGTATCTTTTTGTTGTGAAACCTTTGTGGGTAAGCTAAAAGTTTGCTGGACTTCGGGTGAGAAACCCAGAGGATGATAGGGTGTGACCAAAGGAAAACGAATATATTTTATTTTACTTTATTTATTTATATACACAGAAACAGCCCTATGTATTGATGCAGCGCTTATATGTAACTGTGTATTTTTGTAATATTATGTTTAAGTTGTTTGCTGTTGCTTCAGTTGTACTCTGATCTCTAAGAATATATATTTAATATATTAATCAGTATAGAAATTAGATATTAAATAATCAATCAATACTGGAAAGAAAACTGAATGTTTAGGGCACTTGGAACTCCTAACTAGGCTTCATTCATTTCTCTGTTTTGAATCAGCTTCTCTGATAGTCACAGGATTCTGCATAATACGAATGGAAAGCTCATTCTCTCAATGTAGATCTTTATATAACCAAAACAGCACCATCTAGCCACATCAGCAGGCTCAGGGTAACCCAAAGCTTTACAGAAGTAGAGGATGGGAAAAGGAGGGGCGGTGGGAGGGGAATAGGGGACCTACACCCCCTCACAGGATAATTAGTGTTGAGCATATTCAGTGGGCACAAAATGATGAATCTGTTGGGGGTGGAAAATGGAAAGCTGAGGTGGAATAGAATACTCTGAAAAATAGCAGAGTTGTCTGTCTGCAAGCTTGAACAAGAGCACTCCACATAACCTGTTGTTGCATTTCTTTAAACAAAGTTCAGCATTTCTCTTTACAGGAATGCCAGCCTGTACACAAGAGATGCTGCCAGAATATACATGATAGAACCTTGCAATAAGATTGATTCACTTACCCTCATAGTCCCACAGTCCATTGAATGGTTTTCCAGGGGCACCAGGAGGAGCTGGAGGGTCGTTAAAAAATGGAGCACACACTTCTATCATCATTCCAGCATCTTCACCTGTCAACTTGATTGTTACTGGATCATGACTCACTGGTAAGCTGTTCCATGTATCTTCAATTTTAAACTCCATCTAAATATTATATTGTAAACTTAAAATGATTATTTTTGCTTAATACTAAGAAGTTTGCTACTTTTTTTTTGTTTCGTTAAAAAACCAACCAACCTGCAGTGTCACTATATCCCTGCTTCATTCAAACCTCTGCTGTTGTTTAAAACTCGCAGCTTTCATCTACAGTCATACCTCATGTTACAGACACTTCAGCTTACGTCTTACAGGTTGCATCCTGTGGTGATCCGGAAGTACTGGAAAGAGTTACTTCCTGGTTTCGCTGATCGCACACGCGCAGAAGCGCTAAATTGCGCCATGCACCTGCGCAGATACGGCGCTTCAGGTTGCGCTCTTTTCAGGTTGTGAACGGGCCTCCAGAACGGATCCCGTTTGCAACCAGAGGTACCACCCTGCTCTACTCAAACTTCTGCCATTGTGGGAGTGACAAGGGGAAACACTGAAATGGGCAGAAATGCTTTTCTGAACTTCTCAGCTGCCTCAGGTGAGAGACAAAGGATGAAGAGCCTTCAAACATTCCACAGTACTTTCTCACAATGTATTTTACTCCTGGTACCATGTGTTGTTTTCAACAGGAAGTTCCAGATTCAATGTAGTAATTTAGCAGAAATGTTTTCTTAACAGACACCCATATATGTACAACACTCATCAACTGAACTTAATACTCTCTAGCTGAACAAACTGATGGGCTTGCTCTTAAGATACAGTAATATATATCAGCATGGGTTATGCGTACAAAAGGGGCTGCAGAATAGAAGAAAGGAGGAGGCATGGAAATGGGATGTGGTCTTTGTGCAAGGGGTTGAAAAACAAGGAGGTAGGAAAGGGGAGGGGAGGGAGATAATGGTGTGTGTATGGAAAGGAAGATGCACAATAGGAGAGAGGGTAAGGTGTGGAAATAGGGGTGATCTGTGTGCAGTGGCGAAGCTAGCACCCGAAGGAGCAGGGTGGAGTGATCCGCCCACGGGGCGATTGGTGAGGCAGCACAATCCTGGGGGGGACCAATCACGACGCGATCCTCTGGGGGGGGATCATGGCGCGGCGACGTGATCCTCCTGGTGGGGGACCGATTGCAGCGTGGTGATGCGATCCTCCCGGCAGGGGGCCGATCGCGGCGTGGCAGCGCGATCTGCCCGGGGGGGGTTGTCTTTCCCTCCTGGGATGACACCTGGGGTGGACTGCCCCCACCACACACCCCTTCCTATGCCCTTGTCTGTGTGCAAGGAGAGTTGAGAAAACTATGGACAAGGGGTATGGAAAAAAGAGAACGAAGGTGCAAAGCAGGTTGCAAAATAAGATGGAGTAGATGGCATGGGAATGGGGTTGAAGATGAAAGCAGTCTGGATAATAGGCCGGGTTAGTAGCTTCATAACTGGGCAAAGGGCAAAAAGGGTGCTTAGTAGTGTGGTAGGAGCTTGCAGGAGGTTATAATGGGGGTGGACAAAAGTAAATGAGGAGGCACGGACATGGGAGCAAAGGTGAAAACAGGGATGCAAAGTGTGGTTGCACAAAAGAGTAGAAGAGAGAAGTAGCTTCCAGAATAGGGTTGGGAAGGTGAATAGTGAGCTTAGTAGCAGTGGGAAGGGGAAGCTCTAGGGCCATGGTTCCCAATGTGGGGCACACGCCCCACAAGGGGGCAATTTGATTTTTAAGGGAGGCAATCGAGAATGAGTTATTAACCCTGAATGGCCTTTTAGGCTTCCTCCACGTGAACAGGAGTTCACTTTTTTAATAATTATATATCACCGGGGGGGGGGCATCAGGATTTTAGAGATGCTTAGGTGGGGCATGGCCAAAAAAAGGTTGGGAACCACTGCTCTAGGGGGTTAATGTGGGAAAAATAGTAAAGGGGGGGGGTGAATGGAACAGACAGGGGCACAGCTGCTAGTAACTTTAATAGCATTCAATAATCTCCCAACTCCTACCCATTATTGCAAGCGACACAACATTATTGCAACAGAGAGATGCAAGTCAACCAATTGCATGTGTTACTGGAAGTTCCATTAAGATCTTGGTATAGAGTTATTACATACGCAGGAGAATTAAATAACTTGCTGCAACACCATACCTTTTTCAGTACCTGACTGTTCATGCCTATTTTCACCACAGGGTGTCCACAGTGATCTCAACTTTAACTTGTATAAATATGCAAATCCACTGTCATCCTCCAAATAAAGTTGTATTTCCACAGCAGTACTGGTGCTGAACAAATGGCCTGCCTACGGATAAAGTAGAACATGTTAAAGTTGAAATACAACTATATATCCTCTGTAAAATTATGATAAAAATAAAATTTCCTTGTAATTAGTCTTGGAAATCTACTCATGCAATATCTTCTAAGAACTTAAGAGTGAGCTGAATCAGACCAGTGGCCAATTTCTTCCAGCATTCTGGCCAGTCAGATGCTTTGGGGAAGCAACTTTGCAAGCAGGACGTGAGGGCAACAGCATGTTCCTCTTCTGTTGTTTCCAGCAACATGTATTCAGAAGCATACTGCCTCCAACAATGGAAGAACAACACATCCATCAGGGAAAGTAGCCACTGATAGCCTTGTGCTCTAAGAATTTGTTGAATCTTCTTTAAAAGCCTGCCAAGTTGGTGGCCATCACTGCCTCTCATGGAAACAAATGTCATAGTTTCATAGTTTTGTCTGCCCTGAAAATTCCTATGTTCAGCTTCAATGGATGTCCCTAAGTGCCAGTGTTGTGAAAGAGAGAAAAACTTTGCTCTCTCTGCTTTCTCTAGACCATACATAATTTTATACACTTCTGTTACAGAACCTACTATTTTCTTTGAACTAAAAAGCCCTAAATGCTGTAATATTTCCTTCTACATGGCTGCCTCCAACTGGTACATAACATAGCAGTTTCCCTTGATTGACATTCTGTGGTCCATCAGCTTATCCTTGTGCTCTACAACTTGCACTTGCTGCCTGTAGCCTTCCAGGTATCATCACCCTGAGCAGTTTTAAGTATACTTTAACACACAATACACAAAACAAGGTATTGTAAATAATGTGCAGTTCATACTTCAGCATCAATCCACCCACAAAGCAATCAAAAGACAATAGTTTAGACACTCAAATGTGTGACTAATATAAAAGTCAAAACTTTTTTCTCAATACTGTATGAGAAAAGGAGTTTAAAGGAGTTAAGCTGAGTGGCAAGTTGAGTTGAGCATATCAAGAAAGGAGGTGCAATTCCTACATGTCATCCAATTTATCCAGGAACCAGTTCCCCCACCTTGTCTAAATTATACATCTTCCTGTCCATACCTGCAGAGATATTGCTCTATTTAACTCTTTCCCTCCTTAACTAATTGCCTGTGGTAAAAAGAAACTTTGAATGCAGGACTGGGAAAATGTGAACTAATTACAAATTGAATGAAGGATAGCTCCAGCATTGAAATTGCCTGCAATTAGCGGGTCAATGGTAGGGAATTTGGTCTCCAGTTTTTCCAAAAAGGATGTGAGTTGGTTCCAATATCCTGTCAATGTCTGCTTGGGGGGCTATATATGCTAATTATGATTAGAACTAAGTTTGAAGAGCTCAGGAGGAATGCTTGGGCAATATTATTACATGGCTGGAGGGAAATAATTTCAAGATTAGACTGCTGGGTACAAAGAAAATTAGTCCCACTTTATATCGACCCATGAAGTTGGATTTGTGGGCTAGGAGGGAATATGAGTTGTATCCCAATTGACAGATAGCTCAGTCAGTAGAGCATGAGACTCTCAAACTCAGGGTTCAAGCCCCACGTTGGGTAAAAGATTTCTGAATTGCAGGGGGTTGGGCTAGATGACCCATGGGATCTTGTCTAACCCTCCAATTTTACAATTCTATGCTGCTGTAGCGTTTGCATGTTCACAAAGGACATCAGGTTTCCAGAACTTGGGGAGGAACTTGGGAACTACTAGCAGTGAGAAGGGGCAACACAAAGTGTTAATACATCCCATTAATCACCATCCAGTATTGTGGGTAGGTCACACTGCAATAAGAGTTTAATAGAGAGTGCTTATGTGTGGGTGGAAAAAATCAGATTTGCTTGACTCATATGTGCATTAACACTCTGGAATATACACACTCTCTAACACAATATTGTGTGCATGTGTGTAAGTGCAAGAATCACTCTTTCCCCAGGATGCCGACATACTGTACTGATGAAGAGGACAGTGAGACACATACCGAGCATCTCTTCTCTCCTCTTTGCAGAGTAGAAATCTATTGCAATGACTGTTCTGGGCAGTCAATGCGGGCAGCCCTTTTCGATTTAAACCAGGTCCTTCTCCCCTCTCCCCACCCCCGTCCGGTTGCCAACGTTTTCCGCCGGGGAGGACCCTCTGCCTCTGGAAACCGCGCGAGACGAAAAAGTTTCAGCTGCCACCATTTCAGCTCACGGCGCCACCCTTTTAAAAACACCGAGGAGCGTTGGGGAGGCAAGTTGCTTCGAAACCAGGAAGGAAATCCAGCCCTGCGACCGGGCATAGGGTGGCTGCCAGTCAACTTTGCTCAGGAAGAGGCCCCGTTGGATTTAATGGGGCTCCCTCCCAGCTAGGACTGCAGCCTAACAGGTCTACTCGGAAGTAATTGGTCCCTGGGAGATGGAGATACTTACTTCCGCGTAAGCGCGCCTACAAACACACAGCGGTTGCCCACTCACCGCTCAGTTTTGTTCCTCAGCAGCTTCCTCGCACAGCCTGAAGGAAGAGGCGGGCACGTGATGCTTTTTTTTCTTTCCCCCTTTTAAACCAATGGGAAAAGTCATCTCCTTCGCCTAGATTCCGATTGGCGGCCTGAGTCAGGCGCGTCATATGCGGACTCGTCTCCTCCTCCTCCTCCTTCGTTTTCTTCTACTCCTCTTGTGTTTTTTGCTTCTTTTCCTGTCCGTCGGTCGTTATGGTAATCGGCGGCGTTGAGGTGGCGAGTTAACCAGGTGTCTCGCGCCGGTCTCTTACGGGGGAGGTGGGGAGGCCTGTGATTGGACCAGAAAGGGGAATTAGGCGAGGCGGGGAGCAGCTGCGGCTTCACGCGCACGGCGGGGTTCCAACCGTCAGTCCCGGTCCGTGTGTGGGAAGAGAGTGAGAGAGAGAGGGTCGCGTGTTCCACCCCCACATTTCTTCCAAGAGAGCAATGTGACGCGCAACAGGCGACCTCGTCTGAAAAGAAACGTGTGTATTACATACACTTGTCGGCGGGTGTGGGGAGGCATTTTTCTTCAGTTAACGCTTCCTCTTAAATTAATAGTTTCTCCTATGGGTTTATGCCAGAATAAACCTTTCAGCCTAGTCATATATCTCGCTGGCATAATCCATGCCTACTTTAGAGGTCCTTTCAGACGGGGTTTTTCATTGCAATAAGCTCTCTTGCACAATAATGGGGCATTTAGGGGTGGGTTTGTTCTGTTTTAATATTAGTGGTTCTGAAATGCTTTCCCCCAGTGTTTCCACATAATTGCTGTTGGGAGAGACTATAACACAACAATAGCGGGATAAAAAGAAAGCCCCTTGCTCCATAACGTTTGTTGTAACTCTTTGCTGATATCCCATAACTTTCTATACAACTTATGTACCGGTTGGAAATGAAGCAGTAGGACAACCCCAAAACTTTTGCAGGGACAAATGGTTGTGGATTTTTGTGTGTGAATAGTGTTGAGTGAAGGACAGTGTTTGACTGTTCTGATTGCATCATGGACACAAATAATCATGAACATGCAATAAAAAGGATGTGCTGAAGGACTGTTCTTATTTTTATCTTTTTAAACTTTATAATGGTACACTGATGAGCTGCTGTAGGCTGGGGGAGTTTTATATTTGATATCCATTGGACCATGGGCATAGCCAAGAATTTTGTGAGGGAAGGAAGGCCTTTTGTTAGGGAAGGCAGAACCTCAGTTTGCTATACATTTTTATTCATTTTGGGGGGGGCAGCTGCCCCTCCCTGCCCCCCACCCGCCCACTGCACCCATGCATGGGACTATAGCTTTGAAAAGTGAGTTTCCATTATGATGTTTGATAGAGCATTTTTCTTTCAGAATTATTTCCACATGCCCTATCTTTCTGTAAATAGGACACCTGTAGATTCTGAGGAGAATTCAGTTAGAAACTAAAGTTAGAAATGAATGGAAGTAAATTACTGTAGGTTTTGCTGCTTACATTTATCTGACTTTTACAGGTTTTGTATTTACCTTGATGAGAGGGAGTTCATTTGGTCAGAAACCTTATTGCGTGACCTTCCAGGTTAAAATATGGAAGGAGCAACTGATTTTCCAAGAGTTCAAAGTAAGTTCTGCATATGAGTTCATTCAGATCTATACTGTTAGTTGATGTATTTCATTGAAAAGCTTAAACAGAAGTTTTCTTTTTATAAAAAAGAAGTGAGGGCCAATAACAGCTTAGGTGGTGTTCTGGACCTGTTGCTCTATATGAAGGTGCAGATAACATCAAAGACCACAAGTGCCTGTTACCTGCTTTTGCTGGTATTCTGTGCACTCCTATCTAGAGAGAGCAGACCAGGTGTCTGTTATTTTAACATGTATTCTGTCCAAATTAGACAATTGTAATAGTGTCTACATAGGGCTCTCTATAAAGACAGTTTGGAAACTCCAGTTATTTGTTTGCTAGCAGGAGTTATACAACTCAAATTATACCAACCCTGTACCACTTGCATTGCTTACCAGTTTGTTTCTGGGCTTAGTTTAAGGTGCTGGTTTTGCTCTTTAAGGCCTACAGGTTACTAGGTTACTAGGTTATCTGAAGTATCACCTACTGTCATGAACCTGCCAATGTCTTAAGATCAGCCTCAGAGTCAGGTTTATGGTCCTTGAGGAAATACCACTAGGCACCAGAGACTGACAATTTTATGTGGAATTTCCTTCTCAGACATCTTTGTCAGGCCCCTATTTGGTTGTTTTTCAATGAACTCTAAATATGTTTCACTTAGCTTTTCCTGAGTTATTTGTTACGTTTGTCTTTCTGGTTTAATTTCCCTCAGTGGGGGTGATGTATTTAATTTTAAGTTGTATCTTCTATTTGATTGTAATTATTTTTATCAATGGTTGGAAAGTGCTTTGTGAACTCTTTGTCATTTAAGAGGATCTATCTATCTCACTTAGGCTGTAATCCAAACCTTTGCACCACTTGAAGGTTTGGATTGGGCAAAAGTATTCATCTGTCCAGACTTGCTGGCCACTGCTCATGGAGCACAGTCAGTAGAACCCCCTATTTCACCTGTTGAGCAGGCAGGCAGGTAGGAAACCTCAAAATGGAGTGTTCTGAGGAGGGCCTTAGCTAGCCTGGGTTTCATTGGCTCCCAAGATGGTCCCATTGCTGCCGCTTGATGGTAATGGGCCTGATCACTACACCAGCGCTAGGTTGGACCAGCACTTTGCCTACCTTATGCCTTCCACCTATCACCTTCTGTCTAAGCTAGTGTGAGCAGCAGGGCTACTGATGCAGCAGTGACGCCTCCACTCTGTTAAACCGCAGTGCTTCCCAGCCAGGATTTGACTTGCAGTGTTGTATATTGAAACTTTACTCAAGGTCTTTCTTGCATAGACCTAATATTAGTGAATCTGATAAAACTTGTGTGCATACAGTTATTATTCCTATTCATTATTATCCTTATTTTGTACCTATAGGTAAAGGTAAGGTAAAGGACCCCTGGACACTTAAGTCCAGTCAAAGGCAACTATGGTACCTATGCAGCACAAGCACTACCCTCAATAAGTAAGAACGCAATCATAAACTCACTACTGTATTTAAGTCCCATTGAACTTGGGGACTTAACATAAGAGGAGCCCATCTAGAGCAGTACAGAGGTCTGACTGGTCCAGTGTCCTGTTCTCGCAGTGGCCAACGAAATTCCTATTGGAAACCTTCAAGAAGGACTTGGGTGCAATAGCATTTTCCCAGTTTGTCATTCCATCCCCATACAGAGGCATACTGTCTCAAACTGTGGAGGTAGAACATATCCATCGTGGTTAGTAGCTATAGCCTTATTCTCCATAAAATTTTCTAATCTTATTTTAAAACTATCAAAGTGTCTGCTTTTACATCTTGTGGGAGTGAGTTCCATGGTTTAACTCTGTGCTGAGTGAAGTACTTTCTGTTCAGACTCTTCCAACATTGAGCTTCCTTGGACAGCCCCCCCTTCTAGTAACATGCATGGGATTGTGAGAATTTCCATTACATTTTTCTTATGCTTTGTAAATCTTTCACCCTTTCAAGTTCATGTTCATTTCCATCAAATGAAACAGTAATAATGTATATAAAACAGAAATATGAAAAGAGGCAAAATGTTACTTCAATGTCAAGATAAACATTCCTCCTTTTATAGAGCAAACACAGTGGCTGTTTCATAAAGACTAGCACTGTAGATCTGGTGAATATGCTGCATATGACAGCTTAATCAAATTGGTGCTGGAATATTAGCATCACAAAGTGAAACACTAAGCATTTGTTTTCAGGGAGTTTCAAAGGTGCTCTTGTTACATCATTGGAAAAGCTGTGATACTTCTGTTCTGTTTAAATTTCATTTATCTAACATGCTCAGAAAATGTTAATAGCCACCACTGGGAGCCAGGTGTTAACATATGAAAACACATTTATTTTTGGTCTACTGCAGCTTCTTAATATATTTGCCTACTAGTGTTTTGCAATTCCAAAGCATGCCTAATCAACTCAATACTGACAGCCGATGAATGGGTTACAATAAATGAAAAACTGTTTGTTTTCACTGCCATCCATTACTACACTTTAACTTCTTCCCCTGCATAACTCTTGCCCCAGACATTCCTTTAAAATTTTCAACTTGGCAAATCTAGAAAGATACAGTTTTCAGACCCAAAGGTGCATCTACTTTTACTGTAATGTTAGGTTCCATATATTTTATATTTTTATGTAACCCTCCCTGGCATGTTTGGGAGATTCAGTAAATAAATGAATACAGTTTTACTGTAATTCTGAATTGACAAATACCTGACAAAATGTTCCCCAAAATGATAACTCTCATCTCAGTGACGTATCAATTACACCCTTAAGTGAGAGCTAACTAGGGCAGGAGAATGATAATATTCAGATTTTGGGAATACTTCTGGAGCCAGTATTGCTCCTTAAGGGTTTGGATACTGCTGTTGCCAGATGTGCTTTTACTCAGCTTCAGCTAGTGCAGCAAATGCAGTCTTCCCAGAATAAGACAGTTCTTGTCACTGCTGCACATGCTTTGGCTACATTGTTGAATTATTGAAATCCCCTCAGTGTGGAGCTGCTTCCAAAGCATGCTTGGATGCTGCAGCCAGTCAAGAATACTGCTGTCAGTAATTCTGAGGATGTTATTCAGTATTCAGTATTACTCAGTCTCCATTTTCTTCCAGTATGTTGGTGCAGATAATGACCTTGAGAGCCATAAATGCATTGGCCTAGGGTAGAACTCCTTGCTGAGATCTTGCCTGCTTGTCAAGATCATCTGAAGAGTCTTTGCTCTGCCTTCCACCTGTATCAGAAGCCTAAATTGATGGGTTTCCTAGAGTAGCACCTGGGTTCTAGGGCACCCTTCCCCAGGTGGCACTGCTGGATGTATAGCCTTTTGAAAAACTGTTAAAACTGTCCTCCTTAAAAGTTTTATATGTTTTATAAATGACTTAGAAGGCACCAGTCTAACAGGAAAGGAGCATATATGTGTTGAAATGAATTAAACATGTAAAAATATTGTTATTTAAATGACTGAATTAATATCACA